CGCTTGCCTGTCCGGCATCAAGACGAGATCCGATTGGTCGAAAGTCAGGACCCAAGAGCCAATCATGGCCCAGTATTGGCCAAATGCCGGTTGCCAATGGCGCATCCAGAACGCCTCAGAAATTTCAGAAAGTTATAACCGCCTACGCTATATAGACGAAGCGCTGTACGACTGTACAACTGACTTCGTTTGGGGCGTTAATATACCTTATGTACCTTTGGTGGTTGTGTTTTTTTTGACGTGAACGCTAGCTTGAGAGGCTCAGACCGAGAACTAAGCTGAGAAAAATACCGTTACTACAGAAGCATGTTAACGCTATTGGTAAAAAATACCGTTACTACAGAAGCATGTTAAGCTGCGCTATTGGTAGCTCTCGCATGGGACTAAAGTGTGGGATGCGCAGGCTTTCGACGTAACTAGAATTAAAGGACGGATAGTGTGGGTAGATCAATCCCGAGCATTCTATTTAATCCATTGATGGTTTGCAACAAGCCTGCGCATTACGCGGATTCATGGCGGCATCAAATGTTTGTGTACATTGCTGCACTTGCCAGGCACTGTAGTATACGGTGTCTGGCAGTTTGGTTGATTCATATGCAAGTATTGGTGACGTAAAACCTTGCTTGCTGAGCTTTGACTCATGAACTTTGTTAAAGTTTTCCATCCACGGAAATTGTCGTGAACACCTGCCTTCGGAGATCAACTGTTCCCTGGCGCTTCCATAGCGTGCATATTACAGGCACCAACCATTTGCGATCCTGTTATTAAGCCCAGGGGGTCAGCTACGTACCAAACGAAGGTATGCTTTGGATGGTCGGTACGCGAACCAACCAGGACCGTGAATCCATTATATTGTGCTCCTGGCTCCACCACAAAAGTTCTAGCTCCGTATCAACCCTCTGAAAACAGTTGTCAGCTTTCTTCTGTCTCCTCAGTATGCGAAAAGCAGTGCACCAAAGTGGAATTCTGTCAAAATCTTCAGAAATGTCAAATAGAACACAGCGAATGCCCGTTGTGATTTTCATGGCGTTTGTCATTCCATAATAATATGGCTTCGTTGACCAGACAGGAGTAGATGGCAAAGAAACCGCGTCCAACCACTTGTATGAAGTTATTTAGTAGGAAATTAGCCGCATTGTTCATGGGTCTTTCCATCACTTGAATGGCAAGCCAGTAAGTTATACTGGGCGGTAATTGTCAGTGTCAAGGGAAGCTAAGGTTGGAAGGATGCTAGCTTGCTTTGCGGGAAGGAATCGGTACGTTAATGCGTAGACAATATAGCATTCCTCAGAGGTTTCGGGATGTACACCATTGGGATCCATCCGCAATTCAGAAGGCGGTATACCTCTGGATTTCTCCGGCCATTTAAAATCAGGTAAAATGAGCGTGTATGGCTGTCCGCCCGCTAGGATAGATGGGCCTCCATGGCTATGTGCTCCCATTTGCGCTCGAGTGAGTAATCGAGTTTCTCCGTCACATGAGGTGGGATCGGATAACAGTACCGTAAATAACATTGGCCAAAAGCATGTCTGAGCAACCAGTGACTGTTGAAAGAGCATGGTCACAGCCTTTTCGCCCATGAACTGCACTGTTGAAGCAAGGAGCCATCGTGGGGTCGGATGGCGAATGTGCTCAATGGGGCATCGCGTTATGGAGTATCTTCCTCATGCCTCGCGCCTGAGGTTTAAGGAGATCATCAATATCCTACAGCATCCCAGCCATTGGAATATGTATGCGGTGATGTTAGGGATAAACGGAAGCAGGCTTTGGATATACTTGAGGAAAGAACACCTAGTGAGAATGGGGGCACAGGTGCCCAACCAAAGTCTGAGGGGCTGTTGATATAGGGCCATGTGATGAGCATGACTGATACTCTATTCATTGCTCTATTCATTATCCTCTTGTTTTAATATTCTATATGCTGTACATATACGCCAATTCAAATACACACATGTTACGTGTTGCGTCGGCGTGAATTCTGAATTCCTAATTCGTTTGGATATACCGATATACGTACGAAACTTAAGTCTCACAGGCCACCATGAATTACGAAATGCGGGGCGGTACTGTTTTTGAAGAGAGTGACGGCACGCAACGACGCAGCGGCCAAGAAGCTACGCAGTGCCGTCGATCACGATGGCGCTCATAATGAAGAAGTATCTGCCGTTCACCATCGCTGAAAAAGGTGTGATTCCATGTATCGTCAACCTAAGGGGAGGGCCTGGACGCCAGGAGAGTTAGTGTTTGATCAGTAGTAACCATTCTTCAGTCTATTGCGGGTTCCGTGAATTTTTCTGAGAGAAATCAGTATGGGTAGATGTGGCAAAACTTTAAAAAGAAAGCCGGTGTGCAGGTGATCTATCCGCTGAGGAAGGCGGATATGTCACCTGAGCGGAAAATCTGTCACATTTTCACAGTGAGTCACAAAGATTGGGCAATAGGAATGGAACGTGACTGCACTGAAGTCAATGCCGAAAAAATATTATAAGGCAAGAAGGAATGCACCTCTTCGATCCCAGTTAGAATCAAGTATATTTACTATTAAACGTTATATTTTGGGGTCGTCCACACCCGATCAAAAGGCGGGGCTAAGTTGCGATGACGACACCCATAATTAAGAGCAAAAGGTGCCTGGTACTGACGCCAGGTTGACACACTACAGAAAGCCTTGCCTGAAAACTTGGTGTAACTATCTTTAGTAATGGGAAGCAATTTCGGAGAAAAGTGTAAGATATGAGATACATTTGTGGAGGAGTTGGAAGGGGTGTGGAAGATAGTGAGGATTTGGTTAATTCAACACATGGTGCCCAAAAACAAACCCTGAGGAGAAAGTGAAATCTGGGTATGTGTGTTGATCTGCTACATGGAGTGGGCCGGAGATGGGTCAAGTGCTCCGCCTCGTTGAGTCTTGACATAGTTACCGTTTGGGCCCGTATCCCATTTTTCTGGGGTAAATTAAGATGTCAAGCGTGGAGTGACAAGAAGAGTCCTACGATTTGCTTGTATTGTTTCGGGGCCTTTTATTAAAGATCACCTTGCTACACAAATGCTGAAGATTTTTGAGCGTTGAGGATTTGCTTGTATTGTTTCGGGGCCTTTTATTAAAGATCACCTTGCTACACAAATGCTGAAGGTTTTTGAGCGTTGAGGCTTTTCCAGGTCAAGTCAGCAGCAGAGTGATACAGCCTTGTTGGGCTGACATGTTTTTACGGAGAATTTGTAAACTGTAGGGCGTAATCTGGCCTAGAAGCTGGAGGGGTAAATTGCGGCTTATTTTTCAACCTTAATTACGCGGCCTGTGCCCCTCTCAACCACCAGTGTGCCGGCCATTTTGCGCACGGTCTGGTTAGACCAGATGTGTCAGCCAACTTACAGGTACAGCGCGTAGCAAGTGCACAGTTGTTTCGACTACCTAGTGAAAAGGTTTTCTACATGTGCCTTAACTTAATTTGGACAAGTTTTAAGAGGTCAAACACTGGAGTTGTTCGTTATGTTACAGCCACCCGTATGGGATTCTCGATTACGGACATGTGATATTGCCCTGCACTTTTGATGCAAACATGCGCCAAAGATGTGTAATGCACGAATGATATCAGGTGGCGGTTAATTTGCCTCGCTGAACATTTGAAGTCCGCTCCATTCACTAGTAAGTAGAGACGTTTTCCACTTAATCTTATAGGCAGCCAAACCGTAGATAAGGATTGGGGGTGCCGGGAACAGTTGCTAGCTCAACCATTATTTGGTCCGGCATTAGGCGGCCTGGACTTGAGGCTGCTAGGCAGGCAAGCAAACAGACAAAGCTAATCACGCTGACTGCTGCGTACTTTGAGTGTATCCCCTTATGAAGTACTCGGTCTGAATGCGCGGCGAGGCGGCCTGGACTTGAGGCTGCTAGGCAGACAAGCAAACAGACAAAGCTAATCACACTGACTGCTGCGTAATTTGAGTGTATCCCCTTATGGGGTACTCGGTCTGAATGCGCGGCGACACACAATCCTAAACTTGTGTTGGCCGCGACACTCATATGTGTTTGTCTACGATAGCACCAGTAATTTCACAACAATACCGCCTGGAGATGTTGGAACAAGTGGACGGTTTCTTGGATAATGTGATTGCCTACAAACGTGGTTGTTCCGTCGATGAGGTGCTGGCTTACACCTGGCGTAAATGATTTCCATAAGTTGTTTTGATCTCTAGAAGGGTCTTTGCAGTTCTTTTAGAATAATTTCGGTCGTAAAGCACTCTGAATTTCATTTGATACTGTCTTGCCACACTAGTATCACGCATGATTTCGGCCTACTGAAGTAAGTACTTGTGAGATAAATAGTATATTCAACGTGAATAGGAATGTACAAACGTGGAAGCTGCTGATAACTGAAACACTTCGGGTACGAATGGTAATTTTTTAAGAACAGTTATTGCACCAAGCAAATGGGTTACTTAAATGGCCTGGCGGAATCCGGCGAAAAATTGTAAATACCGCTACTGGAGGAATGAAACAACTTGTGATGATGTCAGTTCGCAGCAGAAGATAAGGCCAGTAATTCCCAACCGAACTAATTCATCATTTACCATCATCTTAACTGGCCCCATGAAGCGAGATTCTGCTTAATTGTAAGAAGCCACTTATTAAAGATTAACGACCCTGGTTTTGTTTCAGAACGCTCATTCATTTGAAATTTTGACGAATCGGAATAAGCATAACTCAATGAGAAGCGGGATCGCGCATGACGACGGACCGACGTAAAACTCGTTGAACAAAGCAGGAAATTAAAATAAGGAGGAATTTTGCGTCGATCACTAGGCATAAACGGAATGTGCTATTTCCTAAGATATGATAAAATTTATGGCATGAATTTCGACAACTCTGCTTGTTTTTTAAATGTTCATTTCAATGGATTCTTGTTGCTAGCGTCTGTCGTAAGGCAGCATCCTTCAAAATCCATCGGGCGACTAGAGTTGGCAAACCTCTGTTGGTACTGACCTTATCTCCTTCTGACATGCAGCAATCAAAATCGATGTGAGATTTTGCCCTTCCCTGACCCAGAATCACCATCAGGTATTCCTGGCTGTAGCTTACTTCACAGGTTAAAAACTACCCATCTCAGGTTGGAATACGTTTGCCGGATTCAGACAATGCAATGGTACGAGCCATAAAATGACGACCAAAACTATCACTGTCAATGAGATTCCTTTGCTTCCAAAATTTACATACAGCTGTTTTCATATGGTACCTTTCTAATA